GGGTTACAAATTAAAAATTTTATACGTCACGATTTAATTCATTGGTCACGAATCAAAAAAATTATAAATCACAGTTTATCGATAGATCACATGTTTCCAAATTTCTTGGTCACAAATTAATAATGAGTCACAATAAACCAAAATGTCGATCACGTACACTAAACACCCCACCCCGTCCTGATCCTCCACCATTATTTGGTCACAAATCAACCAAATAATTGGTCACAAATACTATCCCACCCCCACCACAACACCAACCAAACCACAACCGTCGCCCCATCACAATACCACCACAACCACCACCACAATAACAAAAAAAAAAACCACACCAATCGCTGCCTACACGGCAACACCAAAAAAACCACCGCCGCCGCCGTTCACCCCACCAGAACACCACCACAACCACTACCACAATAACAACAAAAGGCGACCAAAATATATCTACTGTGGATCCACCACAGGCCCCCCACTGCCACTGCCACAGATCCACATCCACCAACACCACCACAACACCAAAACCACCAGCACTGCCATCGACACTACCACAACACCAAAACCACCACCAGATTTCTCCACTCCAGCAAAAAGACGTCTCAACACAGCGGCTCCGGCTAATCAAATCAAACCGAAGGAGAATGTCCCTAAAATACCCCAAATTTATCTTTTGTCGGCGAACAAAATGCCCCAAACCAATCCCCATATTTTTCTGTTACGATGGCGGGTGCACCGTCGGACAACGATGCAACGAGTTCACAGTAGTCTCATCGCTGCAAACAGCAGAGCTCACAACGCACAGCGTCGCTGCTACGGGGCGTCATCGCTCAGCTACTAGCACCGGAGAGAGAGGTTGGGAAGACAAAGAGAGAGGTTGGGACGAGATAAATCTTCTCGCCGGCCAGGAGAGTCGTAGAGAGGTTGGGGAGGAGAGAGAGAGGATAAAATGAAAATAATTAGGGTTTGGTTATGGTAGAATAATTTAATTTTTATAATAATATTATTAATATTTAAAATTTTATTTATAGCTGATTTTTGAAAAGAAAACTTTTAAATCTGAATTTCGAATTGTATAGTTTAAAACTAGGGGTGTGAGTAATTTCCTCTTGTTATATCTGTAATTAGGCTGAGGCGCCCAGACCTGCCTCCCCTACATTCTCGGTTGGTATAGTTTATGTGAGGTGCTATGTGTACATTATGGATCCATAATGCACACATGGCAGACCCCTATAGGGGGGTCGACTGTAGCCCAATAGGGGTCTGCCATGTGTGCATTATGGATCTCATAATGTACACATAGAATAATTCATAGTTTAAAAGGTAGTTATAAAGTTGAGGTCAAAAGTCAACAAAAATGACTAGTGGATATACCTTTTTGAACCTATGCCTCAATGGTGTAAGATGAGTCAAACTCGATCGCCTGGGATCCCATAATGTACACATAGAATAATTTNTATAGGGGGGTCGACTGTCCCCCAATAGGGGTCTGCCATGTGTGCATTATGGATCTCATAATGTACACATAGAATAATTCATAGTTTAAAAGGTAGTTATAAAGTTGAGGTCAAAAGTCAACAAAAATGACTAGTGGATATACCTTTTTGAACCTATGCCTCAATGGTGTAAGATGAGTCAAACTCGATCGCCTGGGATCCCATAATGTACACATAGAATAATTTATAGTTTAAAAGGTAGTTAAAAAGTTGAGGTCAAAAGTCAGCAAAAATGACTTGTGGATATGCCTTTTTGAACCTATGCCTCAATGGTGTAAGATGAGTCAAACTCGATCGCCTTGAGTAGAATGTGAACGCGATATTCTTTTTTTATTCCCTAATTTATACTGTCATTATATCTGTCCAAGAACAAAGACTTACATCAACAGTGTTCCATAAGCAACAAAATACTAAATTCCAAATGTCAAACAGTTATCTATGATTCTGTCTTATAAAGATCTTTAGCATTCGTATTTAGTAAAAGATTCGTATATCTATCACTTTGACATTTAATCTAGAAGTAAGTGAAAAAGATTTTAATAAAAAATCTCAGGACTAGCTTTTGACCGTATCTAACATAATCTCAAACTAAAATACAAGCCTAAATTAATCTCACACCAGATAACCAAACAAAAATTAATATATAAAAATAAGTAAAACTTTGTTCATTGTATTGTTAAATATAACCAGCTAAGTTATAAAATCTTGAATTTCTATTTTAAAAGGTCAAAATTACTAGAAGAAGTAGATGTAGTCTTGAGAAAACTAATTTTGAAATTCTACTATTGAGTTAAGTTTTTTGAGGCTTCTAGTTTCCATTTTAAAATGTGAACTTAATAAGAGTAATTCAAATTAGTATTCTATATACACATTGATGATTGTTTTCATATTTAAGCGGTGTTGAATATTTTACCCTTAATATTTGTGCATGTATACATTTGCAAGTAGAATTTTGCTACTTGTACATAAAAATTATAAATAATGAATTACATAATATGATGTGGAGAGAAAATATTGGATGAAAAAGTTGATTGCATTTTAAATTGGCAAAAGCTAGTATCATGTGGCAATGTGTAATCTATTATGTAAATTTTGATGTACATGTAGCAAGATCCGCACATGTATATACTAATGTTTTGTGTGTGTGTGTGATTTTTAATTTCCAATGCAATGCCACACAAGAAATATAGGCAGCGGTGGAGCCAGCACCCGGCGAGGGGTGGTGGCCGCGTGTGCTGGGATTCGTCGAAACAGTGGAAGGAAGGAAGAAGGCGATGACGAGCTGGCGATTTTTGGGTTTTTTTCTTTTAGTTTTGCAATTTCATTTGGGCTCATTCCACTAGGCCTGTGGGCCTTTTTAAAAATAAAAACCAGGTCCAATCCATGAATCCATGATATACCCAATGACCCAACCGATAAATTTAAAATTGAAAGCTGAAGCTCTGAAGCAGAACGTTACGCAGCAAACCCTCCTCCAAGCTCTAGGTCGTGTCGACGCCTCCACCTCTTGCTCCTGTTGGCAGCTACTGGCGACGACGATGTCGATGAGGCGTCGCCGATGGACTCCGGACGATCAGACCTCCTATGAGCAGTAACTAATGAGCACCTTTCTCCATTACTCCTATGTCATTATCTCTCTCTCTCTCTCTCTCTCTCTCTCTCTCTCTTTGTTTTATTTATTATTTACGAGTTATTATTTATGTTCTATGAGTTAATTGACAATTTGGCATTCAAATAAGAATTGTGAATATGTGATTTATGATAAATAATTTATGTTGTATGAGTTATAAATTATAATTTATCATTTATGAGTTTTGATTTGTAATTTGTAATTTGAGAATTTATGTTTGGAAAATTAGGCTAAGTGAAAAAAAATCAATCGAGAAGATGTTGTGTTCAATTCAACCGTAGTCTTTTTTTAATCAATTCTAATTGAAAAATAAATTAGGGCATTTTGCAGATTATGGATCAGTTTTTTCAACCGAAATGAAAGTCCATTCTTCTAGTTCTAGTGATACATCTAGTCACACCAGTGCTTCAGTCGAACACATATAAATTGGATAATTTTTAATACTATTTAATTAAATATTAATAAACGACATTCGCTATTACGATCGTTGATTGTCGACAGTCAATGGTTAACGGTCAACAGTCAAGGTCCGTCATAACTGAATTTAGATCTTATTCGCCACTAAATACAGGCATCTCTTTACAATCTCTAATTGACTTTTGCATTCAATTACGCCAAACGATACATATTCCTACCAACAAGAAGATTACAAAGAGAAGGGTTTGTCAAACTTCGGCCTAATTTTATATTATTGACAGTACAACCTAATACAATTACACCAAACGACACATATTCCTACCAACAAGAAGATTATAAAGAGAAGGGTTTGTCAAACTTTGGCCTAATCTTATATTATTGACAGTACAACCTAAGACCAATCTAGCTAGAATTGAAGTTAAATCAAAATTCCGAAGGAAAAATGAACAGTTTAATCAAAATTTTCAGAGAAAAACACAAGCATATTTCTCGTCCTATTTGATCTCATCGTACAACTCGTTATCCTTCGCCAAATGGGTTTTACGCATCTCAATGTACTTTCCCCTTAGTCCCATTGCTGACAAGTTCTTGTGCATTTTTGTGTAGTTGTGATTTCGCTACCCCAAGTTGATAAAGATATAGGTGTCAAAATGTACTCAAGACAACCGAGTCCAATCAGAGCTCTAGTGGTCCACGACCCATGTGTGAACTAATCCCACTCTTTATTAAAAGAAAATAGAACGGCTACCCAGGTTCTAACCCATAAAAATATTAAGCATAAAGACCTGGCACAACCCAATTTACCTCTAGATGAACTCTATTCCATTATTATCGCCGTATTAATTTATCAGAAATGATCTAATGAGCACCGGTGCTCATCTTATCCTAAACACCAATGAGTTGGCACATTAATTCATTGGTGGATTGGAACTCACAAAATCTTTATCCACCAATGAATTAATGTGCCAACTCATCGGTGCTTAGGATAAGATGAGTCTCATTAGATCATTTCTGATTAATTTATAGTCTAAACCATATCTAATCTAAAAGAAATCATATTGATTGACAAGTTTTTCCATTAATTCATTTCGTAACTTCAAAAATATACATAAACAGCAATGCAATATTTTTAAACATAAAAATTGGTGTTAGGAGATTTTTGGCTCATAAGTTATTTCCGATGTGATCTTCACCGTTTTGACCATGATATCTTTGTTCCATGCCACGGTCTCACACAAACCAAAGTGTTGATCACAAAGAACTAAATGTGAGACATCATTTTGCACGATATTTGATATCCCACTTAGCAAGTAGTCTATTTCTTTACATAAAGGGGTGGGTGTGGAGGTGAATAAAATAAATGTATATTTCATGCTTTAAAACCTTTTGACACTGAAATTATGAAACAATAAATCGATTACCAACGAGTCTTGGTTAGTACAATATTATACGTTCTTGTTATTTGATCAAAATCGGTGGGAGATCGACATGTGTCCTCGCTTGATCTGTGGAGAGACGATGGAAATGAGGCCACCTAAAGGAGGCCTCATCTTCGACCTATAAACCATCTCATCATAGGGTCGGCGATAAAATTTCAAAAATGGGATAAATGATTCTTTAGATTTTTCGGTTCGAGTTAATTGAAAGTCTTTTTTGAAGAACAACGCAGGCGATTGGAGGAATGAAGTCCTTGGAGTCCTTGGATGCTTGATCATTGATGGATCCATTGTTTGGGTTTTCCGTGGCATTGGTGTTGATGGGAAGAAGCCTTTCTTTACGGTTCCAATGTTGCCATATGGCCCTCTGGTAGTTGGCGATGTAAACGAGTAGGATCGAGCATTAAGGGACGAGATGGTGGGACCAAAGGAAGCCAAAGATGCAGTTGTGGGTCCCACCTTAGACGTCGATGTATCCTTCAACGTCAGGTACCAAGGTTTGAGTGAATCAAGATGTTGCGAGATGGCGAATGAAAATCTTGACGGAGCACACGAGCCAACTTTATTGGTTGATGGCACAAATGAAGGATCCAAACGGAGTGGTGCTTTCCGTGGGTATGATATGTGATCATTGAATTCCAAAGACTCTTCAAAGTCCAAAGATGACACTATCATAGTGAGTGGGGATAACTCAATAAATGGCCTACCTCCCTACAACAATAAAAACATAAGAACCATAAGAATTAACTTCATTTAATGCATTGAGTACAAATAATTAGTAATAGCAATTAAAATAATTTACTATATTAAGAATTCAATCCCAAAAAAAATAATCAACTCATTTTTTTAGTCCCAATTTATAAAGGTTGTTTATCAAAACTTTAGGCATATGGTTTAATCAAAACTTTATAAAACTTGTACACGTAAAATATAGAAAAAGTTCTCGACTATCATGGAACTTCTACACTAGAAGTGAAAATGTGCATCGTTCGTGAGAGACGTCGACAAAAATACGACAAAAAGTCATGATTACCATCTAACTTCGAGACGACGTACCTTCCAAAGATAAGTGAAGAGGGAAGGAGGGTCAATGACAAAGGCCTTGTGAAGCCTGCCTGGATAATAGTCGACTAAGATCTTCAGTGTTGCCAGCAACATGTTCATAAAAGCTGATGCAGACCGGAAAAGGCCTGCATTTTCACATTGTTTAAGGTCAGCAAGAATAACAAAAACCTCATCACACCCCAACCTTCGAGAACATCAAGAATTAACGAAAACCTTATCCCACCCCGTGTTCGAAACAAACTTCAATGATACAATCATAAACTCACACATGGTAGGATTGTCTATTCAAATCATAATAAATTGGACTCCGAACCACTAAAGTTATAACACATTTGATGTTGGTTGCTTTATCTTTTCTCACTCAACATATGAGATGTTACAATTTAAATCATGAGTCATAATTTGATTATTAGACCATCATCACGGAAGTTTTTCTCCCACCACTCCCCAAAAGAAAATATTTATCAAAAAGATCCCCACTAAAAAGTCAAGAAAATTCAAATAACTGTTGGGTTTTCTACCCATTTTTGCATAAGATGATTGAGACCAAAAATGAAAGGTACCCTATATCCCCTGACATGACCATGACATTTCAAGGGCATTTCAGACAATTTCTGAAAAGTTCGAGTGCCCATTCTCTGCTTATTTGTTCCATTCATACTTAATTAAGAATAATTGATAATAAGTTAAGTGATTAGGCGTGACACTGAAAATTAAAGAAAATTATGATTTTAACAAAAGGCGTGTCTTGAGGTATTTCTGCAGAATCCCAAGATGCTATCAACCGAGATAAAAGCTGTCTTTTGATTTGGTATGACAGAGAATGTACTGAAATGACATTTATACCCCCATTGGTACGTCTAATTCACAATATTAGATTGTGTCGAACATGACAAACGACAATTTTTTATTAATCTTATGTGGACCATGTGGTAGTGTCTAGTCGAACTTAGAAACACGCCCTATGTATATTTTCGAAAAAAGTGACGGCAATGGATAAAAAAATAGTGAAATTTTGAAGAAAATGAACTTACTGGCATCAAAGAGAAGAACAAATTGTTCAACATTTTGTTCCATAGTTTGAGTAGCCACTTCTAGTGTAAACACCAGCAATCTAGTAAATCTGCAAAAGAATCACCAAAAAAATTAATTATAGATAAAAATGTACCTCAAAAAAAAAAGAAATAATAAGGCACGTATCAAATAGCTTACAGATGTGAATGAAATTTCTGGTAATCTTGCTTGATTCGGAATATCTGCCAAGAAAAATGAAGTCTTTGTTAATAAAAGCACAGCTCTGAGTCCTTCTGTTCGAATAAGAATTCATTTTCCTTTTCCATTTTTTTTTTTAAATCTAGGAGAAAAAATTGAATTTTGAGGTAAAATTCTAGAAAAAAAAAGGTGAAAATTTACTATGACAGGTCTTGACTCATCATCATGGCCAGCAACATAAGCTACACCTTCGGCAAGCTCAGCAGAGAATTCATCGGCTATCAAATGGTCTAATAATTCAAAACAAAAAAAAAAGCCAAAAAAGGGCGAAAATAATCAGTTTTTTGCTTATTTGGGATAATCTACTTTAACAGAAGTCAGTTTTTGAGTATTTCAATGGGATAAGTTTCAGAATTAAAGAAAAGCAAGATTCTGAGGGTAAAAAGAATAATAATAGAAGCAACAAGAAGACAGACACAAAAAAGTGAATGAAAAACGCGAGATGAAACCTATTTTACATCGAAAACAAGTGATATTTAGATTCAAACGGTGTAAGTTATAAAGAAGTGACAAACATAAGCTGAAAACATGCTAAAAATAAGCTGAAAAGAGAGAGTAAAATACCAGTGTCTATGGAGTCCCTCCAGGCAAGACAATTTTTCAACTGCTTAGCTGCTTTCTTCGTATTATCGCCTCTTGCTTTTAAAAACCTCTCCACACAGGCATTGTTACAAAATTTCTCGTGCTAAACGAACATAAAAAATAAGCTATAATACCAAAATAAGCTAAAATCTTGTTTATTAAACCGTATGCACTTGAATCTTGGGTATGCTACCTACCCACAAATTAAGTCACATGATTCAACTTACAAAATGCACATGCTGTGAAATATATACGTATTCTTGTATACTTGTACGTATGTATTGTGCACAAAAAAACACACAGTGGAAGGTGAAATTAACCTGTTTGAGAGTGAGAGGAGCTTGTTTTCTAAGAAGGTGAAGCACAGCTTGAATATTCTCATTTTCTTTCTGTCTCTTATCTTTCTTTCCCATTCTCAATAAGACAGAGAAAAACACCAACTGTGTGTGTGAGAATTCTCTCAATGAAAAACAAAGATACCACTCTTCTTCTTCACACAGCCATTTCAAACTTCAGAAAACTTTCTTGCACCTACTACTCTGTGTGTGTGTGAGAGAGAGAGAGAGAGAGAGAGAGATGTGAGTGATAGTAATGTGTATTGAAAACTGCCCGTATATATAGCCGTGACGGGAGTCGGGAGCCGTTATGTGGAGATGAACACAAGTCAACATTATTAAAAACTATTTATAACTATTGAAACATATAAAAAAAAATTTGTTACAGTAGAAATTATTTGAAATACTTTGCAAAAAAAAATTAGTGCGTGTCTGATTGCACTTAAAATTGCAATCTCAATTGTTGCAAAGTAAAATTTGGACAGTTGCTTTTCACCATTTTCCAATGAAGACTGACATGGCAGCCGCAATATTGGACCATTTTATGACAGAATGATATTTTTGCCTTTAATATTTAATTCATGAATAATGCTCATTATACAATATTGGGTTACAATATTGAATTACAACATCTCACAAGGGAGGTGGGGCCCACTATCATTTTAATATCGAGGCCCACCTCCCATGTGAGAGATTGTAACCAAATGTTGTAACTCATGTGTTGTACATGTAGCACTGTTCTTAATTCATTTTGCATGACATATGGGCTTCTTTGGTAGTTCAATTTTATAATGTCAGGTTTTGCAGCCAAAGTGGGCTCTATTCTACAGTAAAAAAGGGTCAATTAATTGCTAAAAATTGGAAGAAAGCGCTCACAGACATGCCCTAAATACAACGTTGGAGTGATAGACAATACTGAACGTCATTAGGTTAAAGCAACAAGTCTTTCTTAAACGAAAGCAATCAAGATAACAAAGAAAGGGTAAGACAACTTGTGGGTTCCTTGCCTATAGGATTACTAGCTAGTATCGGATTCGAAATATTTCTCCAGCTTATAATTAACCAAACTATCCGCAAGGTCTATGGCGCAAGGCACGTCCTATAAACCTTGCCTCTTAGCTATATTTACGTCCATGATTTTGGAGACTTGACATGAAATCGAGTAAAAGATGTACATTTCCTTTTAGCTTAGAATCCCCACTAAGGAAGCTATGAGGGGACGGTCCATTTGATTTATTGGTCATGTTACTAGGTTTCTAGGAACAAAGAAGGGAGGATTTTTTGTCGTTTCACTTGTTTTCCTATTCTAAGATTAAATGGTTTGTTTTCTTAACTTAATATAATTCGGGTTCTCTATGCAATGAAGTCGGACTTTCTTTCACACAGAATTAATATAATTAAAAGAAATTAAATTCTTGTATACATTATAGTATTTCAACTCGACAAAACTAAATATGATTACAAAAGAGTGTCAAATATTTATAAATTATAATACTTAGCCCAACATATCAAATATATCAATACTAGACAATTTATTGTAACATGATAAATGAAAACACGTTGGGAGAATTTGAATAGATAGTGTGCTAATGATATTTGTAGGGGACGCATGCTAATGATATTTGTAGAACATTTAAGAATGCTGCCATTAAATTGATTGTGAGCATTAAAAACATTGTCTTTTGGGGTGTTAATAAGATTTATTATCTACGTTGCAATTATGGAGATATACATAATTTTGAAGTTGTATGGTAAGCTAACCATGGACTTTCTTAGACGACTCTTATTTTCAAATTTAAAAAAGTGAAACGTGTGATAAATTTATTTTATTGACTCAACTACTATATACATCCCGTACCAGTGTTTGATTGAATTTGAGCTAACAATTGAATTACAGATATCGTAATTGTTTTTTCAAGAAAACACAATATCACGGATATCAAAACCATAACAGTATTATGGTACTCTGATAATTACTATAGACGATCGGTAGACAATGTTGTTTCCGTTAGTATTAATATCAAATAATTAATAATAAATTATTGAAAAGATATCGATAATACATCTTTAATAACGATGAAACTACTCTGTCATTGAAGTCGATGTTTCTCTACCGACAATTATACCGGTAGTACAAGGCCCATGTGGCCTTGTACAACCAGCCAAACCCCTCTGCCCATCAAGAAAAGGAGTGAACGGGTTAAAAAAACACAGCCAAGTGTGAATCAACTCAAACGTATTCAAACATGAGTATAAAACCCTAAAAAATGTAGACTCAATAATCCACTCGTGCTAGTCCAATTTAATTGTCAATCCTTGCGGCAAGATGTTTGTACATAGTGCAATAGAAAAGGTACTATGAAAGGAACATTATAGCACCTTGCTGAACAAATGGTCCAAATTGTACTGATTACAACAAATGGAAATAAACCCGTGAACCCATTTTGTACGAGGACAACCCGACATTTTCCTCTTATTTGATCGTGGTGTTACAATTTTACTAATTCACATATAATTCTATAATAATAATAATAATCATTTACGACTATATGAAGAGCATAAAAATTTAAGTATGAAAGTCTTACATAATGTACGCACAAGTGTCTATTCTCCATATATTTCACATTCGTATAATTTAGTAGAATGTTGTCGTACCAAAGAGCCTCCGATGGACAACTTCAACGTTGTTTCAATCAAGTATGATTTTATGATTATAATCACCAACCTTAAATGAGAGAAATTTGCTCTTCAACATTTTATAATTACATGGTCAATTCCCAATCATCAAAATCATCAAAATATCTCCGAGTCGTCAAATTGCCCTCATGTCGTATAAAATTAAATTTTACTTAAATTTAAAGATGAGAAATATTTTTTAATGAGACACAGAGGACAAACTTAGTCCGTGTTTGACAACCACTAAAAAGAGTTTTTTTTTTTTTTTAGGAAAATAAATTTTGAAATAATGAATTTTTAGAGAATATGTAGTAAAAAAATAGAAAAAATTTTAAATTTACGTGTAAAATATTTTTTAATGAGAATGTGTGGTTAAAAATGATTTTGAGAAGAAAAAAAAAGAATTTTATTTTAATGATCGTTAAACAGGGACTTAATACTTTTTTTTGAATGTTGAAGAATAAATGTGCTATTCGGGTAATGAGATGAGGACTAACGGTGTAATTTCTAATATTTGTCCTCATTCAAATTTGTACTAGATTCTTCTTCACAATTACCATTTAAGACCATAAATCTCCCCTCCATTTTGTGAGTGCTTGGACCAGTTGAAAGGATTCTTCTATTATTGATTGGTACCATAATTTTCTGTACTTGTCTCTCTTATTCAGTCAAAAAAGTATACAATGTCTAAAATAAAAAAACAAGAAAAACCTAGTTCAAAATCAAAATTAGGTTGACATATATACCTATACTATACATACACATCCCTCCCACATGGTCTAGATGGGATGCTAAAGTTGGATTCATACATCACACCTACCCCTAAAATGCAAATCAAATGGTTTCAAAATTTGAACCAACACTCTCTCTCTCTCTAACCACCTCTAACAAGACTTTACTCAATAGGGTATAATGGTTTTAATCATTGATTTTCAAAATTGTGGACATAATTATATATATGGTTCTCTTTGTGCATGTCATTAAATTAAAGATATTAAATGGGGGCAAACCGCGAGCACGAATCAACCAGTAAATTTCTCGTGCCGGCTAACTCATTAAGTGCGTTAAAAATTTATTTCACAAAAAAGGAGAAAATGGCGAGGTTCAACTCGCCCCCACCAAGAGCGAGTTCGTGGAACGAGCCGTGACACACTTCGATCGGCTCACCACATTTAACTCCTAATGTTATTTCTTGGTTTTTGTTGTACCAAATCAAGTGTTAAGGATAAGATTGTTTTTCATAAAAATTAGTAAGTAGGGACCTATCCATATAAAAGTAGGCAATTCATATTTTCACTAATTCATTTCTTTGTATTCATGGATATTATGTCATCTTTTAGTTCTGATTAGCAAATGGTTTCACTCGTGGTGTGAAAGAAATCGTTCGAGGAAGGATTTGCATCTTATCATTTGAATCGGTCGTTAGAAGTGCAACACCCTATCCAATCTTGAAACGTTAACATCAAAGTTAACGGGAAAAAAAATTGCACATTTTGAATAGTTAACTAACTTCTTTTAATAGTTTCTATACTTTCGATAATGAAACTTGAACTGGAATATTTGGAACAACTTTTCTCTCATACCTACAAGTTCGTTGATCAAGTTGATTCAAAAAATTAAAAAATAATATTCGACTTTCTTATTAATAACCTTAACATTTAATTATTTATTTCCAGACCCAACTATTATTTTAACATTTCAATTGACTTTCATAGCATGTTATTGTTTAGTAATGTAATATTTATAATGAATCACAAAATGAAAAAGGGGGAAATGACATGCTATTTTAACGTTCTATAAAGTATGCAAGTGTCAAGATAGCGTACAATTGGATCTTTGCCCGGCAAAAAAAATTGTTATAATTTCTAATGCGCAATAGTAGATAAAAATAAATTGAGTAGTAAAATCGTCGATATTTTTAATTTTTTAATATTTTTTCATATTGTTCGCTAGTGTAAATTTTACTTTATTTTATATACTTACCATTTATTTGATTGGATAGGAGTTGACACTAAATCAGAGAGAGAGAGAGAGAGTTTTAAAATTTATTTATTGAAAATTTCCATTTGTACAGAAAACAAGCTTTTGTAAAATTGTCAGAACACTCACATGGGGCCCACCCCATGTGAGTAAAGTATTGAAAAAAAAAAAAAATCACCCCTACCTTGCTGTTCTGTACACACATTTTACTACTATTTAGTACTAATATGTCATACATTTATTTGTGAAAAATTGCTTTTATATTTAAGCAAGGTAGAATTGTATCCCTTAACACGTTTCACAAAATAGTGGTTCTTCTTGAAATGTTTGAAATTTTTTACTCAGGTAGGATACTAAATTTAAAAGTTTCGTCTTAAAAGGTAAACGTTGTTAACGACACAAGATCAATATTCAAACTGATG